AACCATCTCTGACCCAGGGTTCCCGGGGCTTCACGCAGGGTATTTTTCGTCCATATACCCCCAGGGGCTGGCCCACGCGCATGAACTAGATAGATATACTGTGACCCTCTTACCAGAGATTCTAGCACGCCTTGGGCCCGTTGGGCCGGCGCATTAGTGGGTGAGCACATCGGACATTCGATGACCAGATTCCCCCCCTTACCCCTTGTCTCGCCCTTGCTCAACACTGTCCTTCGCCTTCCTCTTTTTCCTCCTCCACCTTGTCCCCACCTCTTCCTACATCCCCATTCCATTCACATTGTCATCCACCTTGTCTTCCCTTCTCTTCTCCCTCCTAGGAAAGTTCTGGGGCACACTGGGAGGCAGATCAGGAGACCCCCAGCCAGTTTGCGCCCAACTTGATTCACGGCCATCCCGTGCGTTCACGAATATTAGCGCCCTTGCTTCGTTGGCTTGGCTCTTCCCCATCGGGCTCTTCCTCGTTAGCGATCCAACCGTAGGTCCTAGAGTGTATTGCCGCTTGGTCATACACGCATGATGCACGACCTGATTTGAGAGCAGTGCTTTTTTCGTTCGCATCAAAGTGCGATCAGGTGAAGCATGAGGCATCCTTCCAGCATCTTGGCGACCTACGATCGGAGAGTCGACGGCGTCGGCGACTCGACGCTGCACTCAGCCATAGAGAACGCGAGGGTGGCAGACAGGCGCAGGGAGAGTTCATTGGTGACAATGATGGCGGTGATAGTATTTGAGCTGACGAAGAAGATGGTGACTAAAACACATTGGCTCTGGAGTTGAACCGCAATGTGTGGTAACGTCCAGAGGAATAGCACGATGCTCACCGTTCAGTAGATCCGACTTCGTGCCGAAGCACCTGGCCTTCCTGTAGCCCTACCAGCCGCGTGCGGATACGACCGCGTCCGTATAGCCCCCCCCCGGCTCAAGCGCGAGCGCCCACCCAGCGCCTGGCGGAGCGCACGCGCGCGGACGCTCCCCCCCCAGGGGGTCGTCCGCCGGCGCTCAAAGGGCTGTAGCAGCTGGGAGATGCGCTGGGGCGCGCAGGCCCGGCGCGGGCCCGCATGGGCCATCCCTGCCGCCACCGTGGCCAGCGTGCTGGCTGGGTCGCCTGACGCCGCTGCCAGGGCGCCTGCCTGCTCCCCGCGGCCCGAGGATTGGCACGAGAGGTGGACCGCCGCGCAGATCGGCCGCTGCTGCGGCGAGGCGACCCTCGAGGGGCAGAGGTGGATCTGCCCGGGGCCGGGCAGGCTGGCGCCGGCCGGGGCGACCAGCAGCGCTTCGTCGGCCTGGCCGCCGGCGCCAGCGCGGAGCGCCATAGCGGGGCGCAGCACGCAGCATGATTGTTCGGGCGAGCGCGGGGCGCGTGGGTGGCCTAACGAGAAGCGGGCGTGGTGCTGCCTCACCCAGAATGTAGGCTGCAGGCTGGAGGGGGAGGGGGAGGCAGGCGAGCACCACTGCGAGGCGGGATTCGGAAACTGGAACGAGAGCTGGCCCCAGTCGAAGAAGGACTGGTGCTGCGCGGTGGAGGGCAAGCCTACGTGCCTGTTCGACTGCAAGGCTGGATTCAGTAACTGGAAGGATGGCTGGTCCCAAGCGAAGAAGGACTGGTGTTGCGTGTGGGAGGGCAAGCCCACCTGCCTGTTCGATTGCGAGGAAGGCTTCAGCAAGTGGGAGGAGGACTGGCCCCAGGCGAAGAAGGCCTGGTGCTGCACGAACATGAAGTATCCTACCTGCCAGGCCGACGTGAACGAATCCGACGTGAACCCCGAGCCATCAACCGGAAACGAGTCCGCCGTGAATCCAGAGCCCGCATCAGTGTTTTCGGGCCCGTTCGATTGCAAGAAGGAGCTGGACGATTGGGACATCGCGTGGTCTTTCAGCAAGGTGAAATGGTGCTGCGAGAAGGCTCAGCTCGGTTGCACTGGTCTTGTGCCAAATATAACACCGCAGGAGCGGTCAGACCATGTGATGGAGCCGGTCGGCTTGCAGTGGCGGACATGGGAGGCCTCGGAGGATTTCTGGCAATCTGGCCCAATCCGTGCGTTGCTCTTCATCCCGCTCGCCGTGGCCGCAGCCACCCTCGCCGCAACTGCCGTGTGCATGTGGGGAGGCGCTTGCCTCCAATCGCAGCCTGCCTACAGCCTGCCACTAACAGACCATGAATAGAACCATGGCGATGCTCTCCGGACAAGCGTCTGGTCTGATCGAGGAGATTTTGATCTTCGTTTTCAGTACGCGTTTCCGGTTCCCGCCACGCACTCGACATCTGCCCGCTGAGCGAGTGCGCTGATAACGGCACCCGTGGGGCCCAGTCTCCCAAGGAGGGGCGCTTCGGCCCGTGGCTGGCGCGTGCGGCATGCCAAAGAACGCTCGCAAGATGAATTGGGGGAGACGGTCGGAGGATAGGCCTCCAGAAAGGGCCGTCCTCTATCGAACACGCCTACGGCGATTCACCGCCGCCCTTTGCCCTTTCGGAAGCGCCTATGTGGCCGAACGTTGTGGCCAGAGGCCTGCCAAGCTATCGGACCGTGTGTTCCCCGAGTCGGTTTGCCATCTTGTCCGTCTTGGAGGGATCTTTCCTGGACTTTGAGGTCCTGTATGTATGGTCTCTCCGTCGCTGTCGAGGCCCTCGTGGGGCCGTTTTGTGGACCTCCTGTGCCATTTTGGAGGCCTCCTGCTTTTCTGGAAGAGCTTATGTGTCGGAACGTTGTGACTGCAATTTGTTCTGTCTACTGGGGTGTTTGTTCCCCGAGTTGCGTTTGAAAGCTTTCGGGGAACACGAGAGTGATAATGACCGCAGTGAGGATCTCGATCTGGTCTCACTCACCTTACTTGATAGAGCCTCCTTGAACAGTACGTGGGGTCGCCTTACACAACGAGCGGCCATAACAATTGAAAGGTATTTTGAAGGTCTGAACATAGCAGAACAATGATGTACGGCTACTGATGTTCAGAGGAATGTCGTGGCTTGCCTGAAAGCTCCATCTGCCCTGGAGGACCTCTTGGAGGCCTCTTGGGGGCCTCTTGGGCCGTCTTGGGCAATGTTGACGCCATGTTAGGCCGTCTTGGAGGCATCTTGGGCCGTCGTGGAGGCATCTTTTGGGGCGAAGCTATCGGACCATGTGTTCCACAAGTCGGTTTGGAAAGCCTTCGGGGAACACGTGGGGGAGGAAGAGGAAGAGGAGGATAAGGAGGAAGAAGGAGAAGGGGGAAGATGCCTCCTCGGAGCCTCTTGAGGCACTCTTGGGCTCGATTGGGCCATCTTGGAACCGTCTTGGATGCCATGTTGGTGCTATCTTGGGCTCTCTTGGAGCCTCTTGAGGGCCTTTTTGGGACTTTCGGGGGCCCCTTTGGCCGTCGTAGGGCGTCCCTGGCCCGTCTGACGCCGTCGGGAGCCGTCTTGAGGGCCTCTGTTCCGGCTGGGGACCGCCATCTTGGGCGTTATGGAGGCCTCTTGGCCCGCCTTGGGGCCCTCCTGGGGCCGTCTTGGGGGCCTCTTGGGCCGTCATGGGGCCATCTTGGAGGCCTCGTGGGCGATCTTGGGCATTATTGGGGGCCTTTTGAGCCGTCTTCAGCCGTCGGAATGCCGAGAAGAAGCAAATGCCAAAATCCTTCAATAACCTTTTTGGAAAATCAACGATGTTGGCCCATTCGGGCCCTCCTGGAGGACCTCTTGGAGGCCTCTTGGGTCGTGTTGGGCCGTCTTGAGGCTTCTCGGGCGACCTTGGAGGTATCTTGGACTCCCTTGGGCAGTCTTGAAGGCCGTCTTGGACCATCTTGGGCGGGCCTTGAGGCCATCTGGGACCATCTTGGAGGCCATGTTGGGCCAACGTGGCCATCTTGGAGGCCATCTTGAGCCGTCTTGGAGGGTTTGGGGGGATTGAAGTCCTGGGCAATCTTTTCGGGTGGCCGGCGGGACGGGCCGAAGCCCCAGGGGGAGTTCTTTGTTGGAAGAAAAAAACAAAAAAAAAAAAAAAAAAAAAAAAAAGTTCAGCACGCCAAGCACCCCTGTGATGACTCAACAGGGGGCGGCGGATCGAAGACGCCTACGGCGAATCACCGCCGCCCCCTGCCCCTTTGGAAGCGCCTCTGTGGCCGACAGCCGGGCCAGAGCTTGGCCAAGCTATCGGGCCAGTTGTTCCCCGAGTCGGTTCGGAAAGATTTCGGGAAACGCATGGGGGAGCAAGAAGAGGAGGAGGGGGAGGACGAGGAAAAAAGAGGAGGAGGAGGAGGAGGCCTCTTGGGGCACTCTTGGGGCCTCCTGGGAGCTTCCTGGGGGCCTCTGGGAGGGTTTCGGCGGCCTTCGGTGGCTTCTTGGGGGCCTCTTTGGCCGTCTGAGGGCGTCCCTGGCTTGTCTGACGCCGTCGGAAGCCGTCCTGGGGGCCTGTCTGGGTCGTCTTGGGACTCTCTTGGGGCAGATCAGGGGTTCTTAGAGGCCATCTTGGGCGCCTTGGAGGCCTCTTGCGCCGATTTGGGGCCCTCTTGGGGCCGTCTTGGGGGCCGTTTGGGTTGTCATGGGGCCATCTTGGGGGCCTCTTGGGCGATCTTGGGGGCCTCTTGCGCCGTCTGTCTTGGGGGCCTTTCTGGGCCGACTTGGGGCCCTCTTCGCTTCGGGGCCGTCTTGGAGGCCATCTTGAACGTTTTGGAGGCCTCTTGGGCCGTCTCGGGGCCTTCTTGGGGCCGTCTTGGGGGCCTCTTGGGCCGTCATGGGGCCATCTTGGAGGCCTCGTGGGCGATCTTGGGGCGATCGTGGGGGGCCTCTTGGGCCGTCTTGAGCCGTCGGAAGGCCGAAAAGAAGCAAACGCCAAAATCCTTCAATAACCTTGGGAAATCAATGATTTTGGCTTCTTCGGGCCCTCCTGGAGGCCCTCTTGGAGCGTCTGGGAGGCCTCTTGGAGGCCTCTTGGGCATTCCTAGGCCATCTTGAGGCTATCTTAGGCCGTCTTGGGTGCATCTTGGGCAGTATTGGAGGCATATTGTGACCATCTTAGCCGTCTTGGAAGCCATCTTGGGCCGTCTTGGGGCCGTCTGGGGCAGGAAACCGTTTGCAACCAGGTCTTCCGGGTGGCCGGCGGGACGGGCCGAAGCCCCAGGGGGGGTTCTTTTAGAAAAAGAACCGAAACCAAAACCGAGAGGATTCAGCACGCCAGGCACCCCTGCGATGAATCGACAGGGGGCGGCGGATCGAAGACGCCTACGGCGAATCACCGCCGCCCCCTGCCTTTTTGGAAGCGCCTATGTGGCCGAACGTTGAGGCCAGACCTGCCAAGATCGACCATGTGTTCCCCGAATCGGTTTGGAAAGCCTTACGGCGAATCAGCCCCCTGCCTTTTTGGAAGCGCCTATGTGGCCGAACGTTGAGGCCAGACCTGCCAAGCTATAGGACCATGTGTTCCCCGAATCGGTTTGGAAAGCCTTCGGGGAACACGTGGGCATCTTGAAGGTCATCTTGGCCGTCTGGAAGCCATTTTGACCCTTTCGGGCCTTCTTGGAGGACGTCTTGGAGGGCTCTTGGGGGCCTCTCGGGGCCGTGTCTTGGGCCTCTTGGGCGATCTTTGGGGGCAATTGGGCCGTCTCGGGCCGTCGGAAGGCCGAAAAAAGGCAAATGCCACAATCCTTCAAAAACCCATGGGAAATCAATGATTTTGGCCTTTTCTGGTCTTCCTGGAGGCCCTCTTGGAGGCCTCTTGGGCCGTCTTGGGCCATCTTAGGGCCATGTTCGGCTGTATTGGTGGGCTCCTGGTCCGTCTGACGCCGTCGGAAGCCGTTTAAGGGGCCTCTATGGGCCGATTTGGGGCCATCTTGGAATGCTCCAGGGCCGTCTTGGAGGCCATCTTGGGCGTGGTAAAGGCCTCCTGTGCCGTCTTGGGGGCCTCTTGGGGCCGTCTTGGGGGCCTCTTGGGCCGTTCTGGGGCCATCTTGGAGGCCTCTTGGGCGATCTTTCGCCTTGGGGGCTCTTGGGCCGTCTCGGGCCGTCGGAAGGCAGAAAAAACGCAAATGCCACAATCCTTCAAAAACCATTGAAAAATCTATGTTTTTGACCTCTTCTGGCCTTCCTGGAGGCCCTCTTGGGGGCCTCTTGGGCCGTCTTGGGCCAGCTTCGAGCCAACTTCGGCCATCTTGGTGGGTTCCTGGCACGTCTGACGCCGTCGGGAGCTGTCTTGGGGGCCTTTCTGGGCCGACTTGGGGCCCTCTTGGGAGGCCATCTTGGGCGTCTTGGAGGCCATCGTGGGCGTCTTGGAGGCCTCTTGGGCTGTCTTCGGGCCCTCTTGGGGCCGTCGTGGGAGCCTCTTGGGCCGTCATGGGGCCATCTTGGAGGCCTCTTGGGCGATCTTGGGGGCATATTGGACCGTCTTGGGCCGTCGGAAAGCCGAAAAGGCGCAAATGCCAAAAATTTTCAAAAACCCAACGGAAATCAACGATGTTGGCCTTCCTGGAGGACCTCTTGGAGGCCTCTTGGGCCGTCTTGGAAGCCTCTTGAGGGCCTCTTGGGCCGTCTTGGGCCATCTTGAGGCTATCTGAGGCCGTCTTGGGTGCCTCTTGGACCGTATTGGAGGCATCTTGGGGTCATCTTAGCCGTCTCGGAGGGCATCTTGGCCGTCTTGGAGGCATCCTGGAGGCCATCTTGGAGCCGTCGGGAACGGAAAAACCCTTTGCAACCACCTCTGGAAGATCTTTCGGCATCCTCCCGGGACCCCGGCGGGACGCGCTGGAGCCCATTGGGAGAGTTCTTTTGGAAAAGAACCAAAACCAAAACCGTAAGAAGTTCAGCACGCCAGACACCCTTGTGATGAATCAACAGGGGGCGGCGGATGACGGAAAGCGCGCGTTAGCGTGCAGTCCGTTAGTCGGAAGAAACTAGACTTGGGGGAGTTCGAGGGGGTTGGCATCCGCGGACCCCGGATCTAATTGCCCTCCCGCCTCGTTTTCTATCGAGTAGGACGGCCTTCGGGGCTTAAAAACAGCGTTTCGCTCGAGACATCATCGGAGAACGCTTCTTGGGCGCTTCTTGGGCCGTCTGGGGCGCCTAAGACAGCCCAAGAAGCGGCCAAGACGGCGCCCAAGACGGCCCAAGAAGCGCCCAAGACGGCCCAAGAGCGCTCCAAGAGAGCCCAAGACCGCCCAAGGCGGCCCCAAGACGTCCCAAGAGGCCTCCACGACGCCCCAGGAGGCGCCCACGAGGCGTCCCAAGAGGGCCCCACGAGGCCAAAATCATTGATTTCCGAAGGGAAACGTGCATTTTTAGTATATACGGCTTTTCGCCTTTCATGGCGTTGAAGACGGCCCAAGAGGCCCCCAAGACCGCCCCAAGACGGCCCAAGATGTCCCCAAGAGGCCCCCAAAATAGCCCAAGAGGGCGCCAAGACGGGCCAAGAGGCGCCCAAGACTGTCCAAGAGGCCCCCAAGAGCACCCCAAGAAGGCCCAAGAGGCCCCCAAGAGGGCCCAAAAACAGCCCAAGAGGGCGCCAAGACGGCCAAAGA